GTCCCCCCCCCCCCCCCCCCCCGGTGGTGTTTCGGTTTACCCGCGGCCTTCGTCCAACCGAAATGATGCAGGGTCCGCTACAAACGTGAGGAGGAGCAACAAAGCTCCGAGAAGAGGAAGGCCAGTGGCAATACCCACGCCGGCTCCAACAGCGGTTCAGAGGTGGAGGTAGAGGAGCCTCCGCCAACGATGTCGTCCGGTGACCTGTCCGACGCCTGGTGCTGCCGGTGGAACAACAAGAACAACCCCTCTCTTGCCACCCAGCGGTGATCAGTCCTCACGGGCGTGCGACGAGAGCAGGTTGTTTGTGTTGTTGCGGCGATATCACCGACCATAGTAAATCTCGTCATCGCTGGCATCCACGCTGACGTCGTTGACAACAAGGGCATACGCGTTTGTAAGATGATTGGCTTCTCCCCGAGAACCAACAACTACGGTCTTTTGGCTTGACAGACAGCGATACATTTCTTCGACTTGGACATCAATGGCATGTAGCGTGAACAAGGAAGATTGTTCTGCGTCCATCACAGCTCTAACCGAACCCTCGCTTCGCTGTCCGACTTCTCGTACGTTCGCCAACAGAGACGTTGACCCCTGGAGTTGAAGAAGAGCAGAAGCGCCAAGGCCGCCCACAGCAAGGAGCGCTAAGGCGCTCACAGCGCAAGAAGTAAACCCGCAAAGGGGACGCTAGCATGGTTGTGGATCTTGGGCAACGCCCTGCCCGCGGTTTGGCCGGGGAAATCCCTACCATTTATACATAATAATCCACTTAGGCAAGCGGCATCCAAGGGGTTGACAGCAATTTAGACAGGCGTAGAGTTGCACGTTTCCCCCCCTTGAGTCGTGGGTGCAATAAAATATCGCGGGACAGCCAGTGTTCGTGAAACACACGCGTGGTGTATGATCTAAGTTTTTCATCCTCCGTGTGTGGGCATCTTCTCCCCAATCCCTCCGTACAAAAGGGGGGGGGGACGTTGTAGTTCGGACAATGCCCATCTATCATACGGGACGTCGTGGCTGAGGGTGTAGTGCATTTTCGGATGGTTTGGGCTGTACAATCGGCGGGGCTGCTGCAAACCCCGCATGAGTCTTTAGTGGGCGGATGGCCCATCAGAACTGCAGTATTTCGAGCATACAGGTATTCGATTTCTGACTATGCCCGGAAGACCGGTTTCCGCGGCGTTTTCAGTCCACGGGCACTTACACCGTGTAGAATGGTGGACTGCTGCCCTAGAACGGCCGTTTGGTCGGATGCATTCACCCCAGGTAGTTATACGTGTTGTTGGTGAGGTTCTGCTCCAGAGGCATGATGACCAACATGGTATGTTTGGTGGCCGATGAGATACGCCCGAGAACATACCCTGGAACACATGACGGCCCCTCGCCAGGGAACGGTTACACCCACCACGTGACCTGAGCAAATCGGGATTGGCGTACGGTTTGAATTTGTACCGTGATGGCAACACAAAATATCGCCTGGTATACAATGGAATGCTTGATGTTGTGTTTCGTGCATTGTTTGCTTGGTGCGTTCCCTGGCAATGCGTGTGCATGACTAGACTACGCCTAGCAGACTGTAATTGGCACGAGGCTGGACGCCTCTATATTGTCAAGTAGGGGACGAGGATGGAACTTTCAAAGACTTGTACACTAGGTGATTTTATTGATTTCGGTGATACTCGAATCTTTTGGTGTGTGTTGTACGTTTCGTCTACTAATGTCTTTGGCTCGGCCTATTTAGCGTGTAAAGTGGGAGCGATGGGCTCTGTGTGTCCATCTCTTTTCTCCATATGTTGATATCCTTTGTCAGATATGCCAACTGGGGAGGGGACTGATTATGCAAAATAAATGAAAAACAGAGTACTCCTCTCGTAGCGAGTGCGGAGGACATGCCTTCTCGGCCCGGCTCGTTGTCGTACGTGGTGCGGTCGACATCGGAAACCTGCGCCATTTCTTCAATGCAGCCGGGGATGGGCGCACCATTGGTGCTGAACGGAAGACAAACACATGGACGGAAGGGTAGTCTAAGTGCCGTTTGTTGTTTAAGAACCGTTCCCAGGTCTGCTCAACCAGTACCTTGTAACATCCGCGGGTTCAATTAACGTGGACATCTTCTGTTGTCACGGACCAACTACACTCGAAAGGGGAGATTATTGTTACCCAGGTCCGGGCGAAATGCGTCAAATTTATTGTAAAGCAATCGAATGTGGTCGTGTCGTTGTTAGGGTATGATAAAAAGGCGGCTCTGAAGGAGAGAACGGGTGAACTCGCACCCCGAGCACTCTGTCGAAGCTACAGTGGGTGTTAACACAGAGAGTCTTTAAAGGACGGTAGAAAGAGCAATGCATAGACAGCGAGGTTAGCACAGGACGGCTTGAGTGGTTTGCTGAAGCTGCAAATAAGAATATAGTATTTTCCCGCCCACCCACCATTTCTATCGAAGGTCAGGGTCAGGAGAGGACCGGTTGCAGTATCCGGTACGGTGCAATACTGGGCGTGGAGAATGGTACCGTACCTTTTGGGGACTTGATCATTTGAGACGACTGCGTGCCGTATACGCTTAGTCCCTACACCAAGCGACCAGAAAGTTTTTTTTTGTTTTGGAAAGGTACAGTAGGGACACGTTAGAAAAGGCGCAGAAATGCGTCTGCGGGGGGGAAAGTGCTTTGCCAAGTTGGCATCTCTCTCTTTCCTCGGGTGTAGAAGAAAAACGAAGGAAACTCTAAAAAAAATAAAAGAAATAGACTACGATACTTCTTTCGGACCAAACAAAACAAATTGGACAGGTGTCATACCAAGAATCTAAACTATATAAGCCTCTTGTTCCTGCCGCACAGAGCTGGGAGGGCGCACCCCAAGAGGACTGAGTGCTCAAGTATGAAGTGTTTCGTGTTTCGAAACAAAGTGAACCTGTTGATGGGAAGGCGCTCCTGGGCTCCGGCGTTACGCGGTGGTTGTAATGTCCCGCGTGTTTTCGCTTCGCTTCTTCAGCCTCCCATATAGGTAAGGAGAGGTGCACTTCTTCAAGTCGCCACCATGATGGCATCCGTTCAGATCTGACCACAGTGATTCAAACTTCCTCACTACATAGCTGCGTGCTTACCATGGTGACATCGGTTTCACCCTGACGATCCTGCTTCAAACTTTCTCGCTCGTCACAACACGTGTTAAACCCTTGTTGTCGGTCACCGTAACAAAAATTTTCGAACCCTGCTCGGATGTCATCTAACTTCCGCACCAGTCCAACGAACGCGGACGTATTCCGTGGTCGCGGGTCATCTTCCCGGTAAAGGGAACACGTCATGAAAAGTCATCAAAGAACATCATCAACGAACAAAGACCTTGATTTCAGAAATCTACGCAACAAACAAATTTACGAAAATCGCAGAGACCACAACCACTCGGATTGCATGGGCGCTAGTCTGTTGCGCGCTGATCCTCCTGCGCAAGAAAGAAGATTCAACGTAACAAAAACAAACATAACCGTGTCTCCAGAAAAGCACAAACAGAAACAAGAGTTACTCATCCTAGCAAACTTGGTACAGATGCTAGGAGGTAATGAGCAAAGATCGGAGAGGTCAACATCATGCAACTGATTCTAGTGCATCGAAAACCCAACATTCTCCATGAGCCTTCCGCGCAAAATACGGCAGGACGCATGACTCCGGTATAAGTAAGCACTGCGCCAACCACTCGGTCCAGCTCTGGCCGTGAATGCCAGGACTCAGATGCAGCGAGCTCGTGCCACAGCAGCACAAAAAAACGTTCACACACACAGCAAAAACAATGCCACGGAAGCCGCCAGATCCGAACACACTCAGGCGATTCTTATCCAGCTGGGGCAAGAAAATTCCCGTTGGTCTGATAGATCGATGCCAAGCAACAATAAACAACAAACAGACACGCACGCACACAAATATATACCAAGTAGAACACAAAATACGGTGGCGGTGGGAAAAGCAACTCGGCAGCCTGTCGATGGAAGGCGATGTTTGTGGTGAGAGCGTCTTCGCCGATACGATCGCACGCGCATCTGACTAAGGTCGTGGTATTCCGGAGGCGACGCACCATGATGATGATGGTCGTGTCGACGCCCGCTCAATTCAACGTCCGCATCGCCACATCCACGCCGCGTTTCGGGGCACGAGTAATACCCCCCTCGCTGACCCTACGCACCCCTGCTCAGAAGGGAGCCTACGCACATAATACAATACTGTACGCCCACACAACACTTTCTACATACCACGGCACTTTTTCCCCGTGCTCGCATCACTCTCCTCCAAGGCGGTGGAAGCCTCATCCTTCACTATCGGAGGGCCCTCAACACGCTGCCAGCCCCGCTGCTACTACCGCCGCCGCCTGCGGAGGACGCTCCAACACCGGTCCTGCTTCCGCCACAGCCATCTTCGCCTTCGCTTGCGACAGGACCGGCAGCGGCGGCGGCGGCGGCAGAAGCATCGTCCGTCTGCATCGGTCTTGCGCCATCATCTTGACCGGGTGGGGGCGCGACGGGGTCCACTTCGTCGGCTTCGGCAGGCGCGGCCGGCTCCAGCAAGCTAGCGATGCGCTTGATCGATCGCGCGATGCTGGCGTACCGAAAGGTTCCCCTGTTCTCCCCGAAAGGGTCGACCATCTTCCCGCCGTCTCTGCAGCGCGACCAGCAGCGGGGGAGAGCAAACGACAGCGGCGAAGGCGAATGAGCTCATCAACCGTACATATGGGTTTCGGGGGTGGTCAGGACAGAACTACAGTAGTAGGACCTGGTCAGTATCAACCTCCGGGCTACCGAACTCGCCATCCCTGTAGGGAATGAATCAGCAAGAGCAGATTGGATACGCTAAAAAGAGTACAATCGACATACTTAAGAGCGAGAATTGGACACTACATGCCCAAGAATGACGTTATAACATTACCCTCTCGCTAGAGAGCAAGGAAGGAACCAACCACGCCGAACTTACTTTCCCGATGAATGGAAATCCCAAAACGGAAAAGGGTGGCACACACACACCGAATCTTTCAAGGCTCAATAAAGCCGATTCTTTCTGAAGTCTCAAAAATTAAGCTTGTCAAGGGAGGCCACGCAAGCAACGCACCTGTGCATGTTCTGCTCGCACACGAGCTCGTAGCGGGGAACGAAGGATAAAAACAGGTCCCGAGTCAGCGCTTGTAAGCAAGCCGGCATGCTGTTCGACAGGCTGCCGACACGAAAAGGAACGGGGGAGGCAAACAATGCCGTCATGGGAATAAGCCGCATCGAGGGCAGGCGTTCGACGACAACAATGTCTTGGAAGATTAAATAGTGCTGCTGTTCCTCAACGATGTGTGCGGTATTGAATTCGAGGCAACTCCTCCTCCAAGGTGCTGCTGCTGCTGTGTACCCTCCTCGAAATTAGCGTTCCTGCTGCTTATCCCAAAACGTAGGCCAACGGTGTCGCTCCTGCTTGAGCAGTCCTATAAACGCTGCAATTCTCCGCAAGGTACAAGTAGTTTCGAATCGACAACGAAAAAGACAGCAAACACGCTTGTCCTGAGTGCGCTCTCACACATAGTCGCCCCTCCCTCGCAAGCACATGCCTACAGTCTCGGGGTGCTGGCACTCATCACTTCGCGGCGAGCCAAGACTACGTAGAGAGCGCTGCTAGTTCAACCATGAGAATCATCACCCCTTTTCGGACGAATCACGCGATGGAGTACACGTGGGGATAGCGGCGTGCGAGCTCTTCTGCGGGGCTTCCTCGCTTCTTCGCCACCTCACCTGGAGTCATCCACCATCGCGCACACGGCAACGCGCAAGGTCTCGTGCGTGATGCAGTCGCTGTAGTCGCGCACGTCTTGCGGGTTGGACGCTGCCTCGAACCTATTTAATGTAGTCGGCGTCGTCGACGATGGACAAAGATGTACGGTTTAGCGAGCCATGTGAGCGAAAGTGGTCGCTATTGCAGGCCTAACGACCAGTCGTCAGGGTGCCGCGGTGCTGCCGCACGTTTGTGGTCGTTGTGCAGGGTATGTCGCTAAACGGGGGTCGCTGGACCGGCCCATCACTACCGTACGAGGAATGAAACATCGTGCCCTCACCCACGAGCGAACATGGCCAGACGAACGATGAAAACAACCACAGGCACAAGCAGCGACTGGATCTTTGCATAAATGCAGACACAAGGCGTGAAGAAGGCCGCACCGCCTCTCGAAACGAACGCAAGTCCCTTTTCACCCGGGCTTAGCTTTATGTAAAACAAGCTGTTCAAATACTTCGTGCACTTTGTCCACAGCTCACCCTCGCTCGTTTTGGCGGAGGCAGTTCCATCGCAAAAACAGACACCGTGGTCGGAAATACGGCGGAATTCGAACCTCTTCGACCGTCCGACTTGATTGCGTGCCCCAAGCCCGCTTGCACAACCTCTGAGGAAAAACTCGACGTCCATTCCCTAAACGCCCACACCCGACCCAAAGAGCTAACAACGAACCGTTGTAGAAACCCCAGACTTTGACTCATCCGGATTGTTCTTGGAGCAGACGTCAATGGACCAAAAGGTACTATGCATCAACACCTTCAACAACACCGATGCCTTAGGTATTTCCAGCACAAACATGAAAACGGACTAAAAATTACGTAGTTTCGGGGTCGTTGAAGGAATCGCGACATTGTGAGGCTGGTCATGGCTCCATTGCGAACGGCGTCTACGTAGATCTGGTGGTTGCCAAGGAACCGGAACGTGATGAGGCCGGTTTCACCCTGGCTTGTTGTGAACCCATCTATTACGCAGACCTCAGAGTCCTCAAGGAATAGGAAAATGACGCGGCTGGCTTGCTCACCCCGGCTCGTTGTGGTACGGCTTTTCGTTCATGAGGCTCTGGATGGACAGCAGCACCGACGAGATGGAGTGTACCGGGGTCCAGCGCGGGCCGTTCCACGTGCCGAGGATGCTAGAGAGGTGGGAGAAACGGGTCGACGCAATAAGTTGTTGGTACGTGCTTACCGCACGCGGCAGTAACAAGCAGTGGCAGCAGCGGCGCGGTTCCGCCGACTACTTGTCACAGCAAAAGAGCAGTGGAGTTTTTCAAGTAACGTGCACAGGTACGCATTGCTGCGCTACATGTAATACCCGTTGCCTCACACAGAAAATACTTTCCCATCACCCTCTTAAGTTACATGTTTACTCTGAAGACCACTGCATAAGAAGCAAGCAAACAGCGAAAGAGAGCCGGAGGACCAAAAAATTACCTGAGGCAAACCTTGCCGTTGGCGTAGAGATTGGGGTTGAAACGTACGGTGCCACCTCCGGTGGTCATGAGCCTGACCCTTGGGGGGCTGTGGGGGTAGTCGTCCGGGCAGTGCAGCACAAAGTAGAAGAACCCTGACGTCACGCATAGCGTGGCATGGCAAAAGACGCGTCATCGCACACAACACGGAATTACATTCCTTCATAGCAACCAGAAAACGAAAAAAAAAGAAGCAGCATGTACACGAAACCACCCCCGACGTCAACATCCCGTGCCGCTGTAGCGTAAATAAAGCACACGGGGTTGGGAGGCACGGGGTGACCACCTTGCGTGGAAGAACAAAGAGAGGAGGGGGGCGGGGTCGATAATACAAACATCCTCCAAAATACCGGAGGTGGAATGAAAAAAATGGAAGGGTTGCAGCGTACGCTATGCATGCCTCCACACAATCTCCCCACCGTGTCTGGACGACCCCCCCCATCGTCTAAAAAGAGAAAAAAAACTCGCCCAGTCGTTCAGCAAAGAGCCCACGCCATCGTGACGACAAAAGAGACGCAGCCTACAACTAGAGCAGTATCCACTGCATTCGGCAGCATAGTGCCAAGGGATTTGGTCGGGCGTATAGCGGACACCCAGCCCTCTTCAGAAAAACACGGCGATGGCTTTCGAATATTCCAGCCGTGATGAGCCGACTTACCGGCCTCGTGCAGGGCGACCGGCCTTCGTTCTACGGTCTTAGCCAAACTTGCAGGGCACATGCATGCCAGAGAGGATTCGCGTGCACCCTCTCGTAGCGCACGTGCATCACGGTTGCATGGCGTGCACCCGCTCTGAAAAATAACTACTACTTGTAGCAACAGACAATGGCGCCAACAGCAAGGGCTGAGACCAAAAACTGCGCCGTAGAAACAAGAGAGGCCAAAACCTTTTGTTGACGACGAACTCGGCTTTGGGGGGTTTCACCTCCTTCGTACGGCGTGTCGAACGGCCCGGTGACGAGGGCGTGCACAACCGTAACCAAGTCCTCATCGGGGTAGACGAACAGGCCGGGCACGGGATCTCTGCGATTCGCGCGGTCACCCATCACAAGGGCGTTGTATCGTAGGCCAAGGCGATTCGGAAGGTTACCGATCACAAGCGCGTTGTATCGTGGGCCAAGGCCGTCAAAGAAAGACCAAGAATGGGCGGGAACACAGCTTTTGGGGACCAGACAAGCGAGGCAGGCGCCCAATCGGACCCGACCCAGTGCTCGAGCAGACCAAAACCGAGTTGTCGTATGCATAGGAACACGGGTCAGCGGGAAAAATCAGAAGCAAGGTCCGAAAGTCAAAAGACCAAAAAAAGAAAAAAAGGCGGAACAATAGAAACGAGACGGGCGAGCCGGAAACAATGCACAGTACGCACCTCATTGCGCTGCGGATGTCGTTTCTCACTCTCCGGATGCATTCCCTTGACGGTTTGCTCTGGCACAACGAGGGCATCCAATTATACCTCTCGGTTCCACCACCACCACCACCACCACCACTGCCGCTGCTGCCGCTCCCCACAGCTGCGGCGTACGCCCCTGCGATCGCTGCAGCAGCCTCCCCTTTCCCCGGAGAAGACACGCCACCCTCGCCAGTCCCATCGGTACCCTTGCCCTTGCCCTTGCCCTTGCCCTTGCCCTTCCCGTCAGCAGGGCTGTCGCTGTCGACTTCCTCCTCTCCGCCCGGCTCTGCTGCTGCTCCTGCTGCTGCTGCTGCTACTGCTGCAGCAGCAGCAGCAGCAGCTGCTGATGTACTCTCCGAGGACGGACAGACATCCACAAAGGACGAGATGGGTGCTGACATCGACGGCGGCCCTCCCGCCGCAGGGGTAGTCGTTGAAGGGGGGGTGGGGAATCCCTTCTGTTTCATTTCCGCCATGGTGTGGATACCACCAGGCGAAGGGGCTCGGCGCGACGCCCGTGACCCGTGACGACGACCTGCGGGAAAACCAGCCGAGATTTTGTCGTGTGACATGCCCAATACATTCAAAGTAGTACGGTCCAATAGATGAAGATGTACGCGGGGGGCGGAGGGTGCCTTCGTCCAACAAGCGGGGCGTTACAAACCGCTGGTTGTCGCCGCTGCTGTGGATGCATACCGTAGAGATCGAATCACACACCATGCACGCGCACTGCCTTTGATTTGAGAAGATGATGGTAAACGACAAAAGGAAAAGAACCGCGGCAAGGCATCCAATCCACCGAGATCACGATTCAAAACCCAATACAGCATACAAGGACGAGATGTTACTAATAAGTAGGGAAATGAGGTCGGATGAACTCTGTGGTTGACGGTGTTTACCACATCCCCATCGGGCTCCGACAGTACTACGTGCTGCTGTACAAGTATTTTGTACCATACTGGACCTCAGACACGTGCCTAGTGCTCGGTACGCGAGCATCAAACAGAGTTCCACGCTGCTGGCACATGGGGGCGCCACCCAAGGGGCCATACGCATTGCTGTGCACATGCACGCAAAGCACCATGTGAGCTGATCAGCGGCCTGCAGTACTTCGAGTTGTGTTGGAGCAGAAGGCAAATCGAGGTTTTCTCGGCTGCTCAAGCACAACGCCTTCTTAGAATGTGATCCTCGAGGTACTCAAATGACAGGTTCGCTCACCCCAATTCAGCTGGCGGGACCGGTCAGGTGGGCGAGAAGCAGCAGCAGAAGTGAGGACACAAGCAAGATAAAGTCGGCGCCAGATCGCAAGTCGCGCTGTTGTTTACCTCCGCAGTCCGTGGAATCAAACATGGTTGAACCCAACCCAACCCCGCGTGTTTTTCTGCACGACACGTTGCCCCCCCCCTTGCGCCATTGCGCCAACACACAAGCAACAACACATCATTTATAGCCAGGCGCGTCGCTACGAAAGGTGTCAGTGAGGGTAGGTACTGCAGAGAATGTTTATTTGTTTCAATTTGGATGCACGTCGGGCCTTGTATGTAGTATGTAGACTGTTTTCACGAATCTGGTACTGGTGTGGCGTGTAAATACCATTCCAGGGTGCGAGGAGAATACTCTGTTTGTGTGCGGAGGATTCAAGCCAGAAGATATCGCTCACTTCACATTTGCATCCACACCATGAGATTTGTTGCCTGCGGTGCCGTATACAGCTGTGTGCACAACTGCTGTCCTGGACAATCACATTTTAATGGTGATAGATTGAAATCTACGTGTCGTAGAAGTACAAGTCTATTTAGTCATACATCTGCTGTAGCACCAGGCACGGTGCTTGACTGATGTTGCCTCCCCTGTGATATTAAGACTGCACCAGTCGACTACCTGAGGCGATCACATAAACACGCACACCTTTCTACTGCTGGGGGCTACGGGCTACGGTGCACTTAGAGATTACCTAGGTACTCCACGACCGCAACCAACAGCTACATGTATCATTTTGCTCTGTCGTGTTGTTCGTAACCTACTGTAATTAGCTTTCTTCCCGCCAAGTCTAACCGAAATGGGTAACCCTGTTTGTTGGTAGAGAAGCGTCGCTTCGGTTGGACCAGAAAAGGTGTCAGAGGGTACTTCCTAGCTTAGAGCAGAGAGCCCACCGTTAAGTGAGGACAGCGACAAGAACGCCACAGGAACAAGAAACGGCGACCACAACCCCAGCTGGAATTGCAGTTCCCTAAACCGCCGCGTACTGCCTGCCCACCGACCTCAGAGCACGCCGGATAAGACCAAGCAGCGCCAATGGGGCTTAGGAAGGGGAGTGAGGAGGCGATCCGCCTCATGGACTCCGACAACAAAGTGGAGTGGGAAGCCACGTTCCAGAGGTCAGTCGAACCGAGTTTTTTGTCTTCGACGACGACAAGAAGCTCACGCTAATAACAAGTCCGTTTCTCTCTGTTCACCCGTCTGTTTATTATGCATCGGCGGTTTATGCGGGATGGTACATCTTGGTATTCGCGTGCGGAGAGCGAAAAATGATCTTTGTGTCTGCTTTATAGTGTAGATCTAGTGCAGTTACCGTAAAAATGGTGTGATGGCACCCATCGGTGATTTCGCACCCATCAGCGTTAGGCACCGGGGGGGGGGGGGCGTACTCTTTTGTTTTGCAGGCCTTAGCGGTTAGACCATTGACCACGCGTCCTCGAGAGGACGGAGCATTGCATTGTTCCCACAGGACCGATCACCGATGGCCAATCGTTCCTTCCTACTTTGCCAAAGGTGGCTCAAAAATGTCTACCCTAGTCTGTTTATCCTAACGATATCCCTTCCCGCCTTTTCAAATCACTTTCTACTCCCCAGTACAGCTACCATCGTCTCCTCTCTATTCCATGCCTCAAACATATCCCTGTACGTCCCTTGCATTTTTCCCAGCTCAGTCATGTACACTTCCCTCTCCTCTTCGTACCACGGACATTCCGCGACTACATGAACGCGGTCTTCGCATTCGAAGCCGCAATCACATTTGAACTTGTCGTCTTCGTCGTCGAAGGCCTATGTCTTCGGTCCATGTCCCTGCACCCATTGGTCCATGTAGGTAATCCTTGAACCCTATTCCTTATTTCAACATTCCGTACACTTCTAGACCCTCCTTGTCCTTGGTTTCTTTTCTTAGATTCTGTTTTTCTCTCTCGGCACAAGCAACATATATCTTCTCCTTGAACCCCTGTAGACCCTCCGTTTCCAGCGTTTCATGTTCGTCGATGTCTAACCCCTTCCATACGTCCTCTACAACCTTGACCCATTCCGTGGGTTGTCTACCCCTCTTTTTGTTTGCCCACTTCGCCTCCCATACTATTCTCGGCAACCTCTCCTCTCCCATCCCGCACATGCGATACTGCCATGTCAGCTTCCTTGCGTCTCTTCCCGACCGTAGGGATCGGATCCCCAATTCTGCTCTGACGGCTGCATTACTTGTGCGCTTGGAGAATCCTAGGATGATTTTCGCTGCTTTCATCTGCGCCGCCTCGGGTTCTTTCACTACCTTCTTATTTCCTTCCCATACTTCTCGGGCGTACTCTAGCGGCGGTACGATTACGCTCTTCAAAACCGTCACTTTGATGCGTGTATCGAGGTGCCGGTTTGCGAGTATTGGGTGCAGCTCCCCTGCTCGTGCTTTGCCCTTTTCCGCTACCTTGGACATGTGTGCATTCCACGAGCAGTCTTTTGCGATCTCTACTCCGAGGTATGTGTACTGGTCCACTACTGCAATCTCCTCGATCCGCCACTTCCATCTATGTTCTACTGGTTCCTCCCTGACCTCGTTGCATACCATGACGGCACTCTTCTCAACGTTGGCAGACAATCTCCACTTATCAGTAAAAGATATGGCACCGGGGTGCGCAAAAATATCAAGAACGGCATGATTTAATTGTATTTCCGCACCGGTATCGGTGTTATCGCACCCGGTGCGATATTAACGACATAAAACCTGCTAAGGACGAAATTTGCGTGCTTCCGCAAGGTACCGGTACCCTCCGGGCCACGTGTCGGCATGTAACGCGGTTGGCAGGTTCCAATTGGGGCGCCATTCCATGTATGTATATCGTACCGTCGTGGTTTGCGCAGTAGAAATATCTTGTTTTTGTTTTCTACGGTAATTCGTACATCGAACGCACTCACTCACTCAACCAAGCACACAGCAGTACACATCCCGCACCTCCAACCAACCGAACAAGGAGTTCGTAAACGGTCCTACAGTTGTACCGGTACCATGCCCCTTGAGGCAGACACAGACAGAGGGAAGCGCCAGCCAACAAAAGAGGGGCTTGCGACCAACGAAGAGGCTGGAATAAAAACGATACCCCGCCGTTACATACCTTCCCCAGCAGGGAACCACAGCGTCTGTTCCCTTTGGCACACGCCACCCCAAACTCGGATTCGACCTCATCACTATCACCACTCCGGGCTGGTTGCATGGTACCGTCTACGCAAGCTCCTACTGCAAGAGCTACAGCACGCAAGACGAAGACATCTACGCCTGTTCGTTTCTTGGGTATCGCACCTATCGGTGTCATCGCACCGGGGTGCGCTCACTCAGCACCCCATCATGGCCACTGTGATTTCTTCCATACCGCACCCATCGGTGTCATCGCACCGGGGGTGCGTTCGAAATCTAGATCGAAATGATTTAGTTGCTTTTCCGCACCGGTATCGGTGTTATGACACCCATCGGTGTTATGGCGCCGGGGTGCGATTAAAAACCAAGATAGGAATGATTTAAAAAACGATCGCACCCCGATGCCGTACCACGCACTTTTACGGTAGGCATGCTTGTGAGGCATGCATGGTCCATCGTTGTTGACGTGCGGAAAGCGCCGCACAATGAAATGTCTAACTGCTTCCTCGTGTACTTACAAAGTAAATGTCGTCAGACATCGACGGAGCCCTTCGCAACAACAGACTGGCTGGTGATGCCGTCGGCTTTCCGGTGTAGCTAGCCCTCCAAGCGCCACCCGGCGTGAGCAGGCTTTTTTTACTTCCCCCCCGACAACCTAGGGTTTTGTTACGGTGCCGATCCCCGCTGCAATCAACACGGCTTAGATAGCCACGTCAACACAACAACTGCTGCTGTCGTCGCGTCCATTCTTGTTCCTCCTCGCATGGAAAACGATGTACCTCACGGGATCAAACAGACGCAGGGTACGGTACGTCCCGTTTGATTGGCGGAGTCCCCAGGACAGACGAGCGGGTCGCCGACCTCACTCCTCACTTGTGATGCTGTTTAGCAAGCCCGAATTTTTCAGCTCTGGCTCAACTTTTGCGAGACACTTCCACCGTGGTTCACAAACTTGCATTATTTCGGGCTACTGCCATCCCCCATGTACGCTGGTTGTTGATATTCGGACCCTTCATTTTTTGTTGATGAGGTGTTGTTGTGGGGTGGGGTCCTGTATCATGTTTTTGAGACATATCCCACCTCCTCCCCCTCCTCCTCCCCCCCCGCTCGACACAAGCTTTCTCGCGCTGCGATCGTTCCGAAATCCGCAGCTACTCGGCCAGCGTCAAGCGCCTGTCGCAGGAGAAGGGGAAGTCTGAGCTAGTGGAGTTGGACCAGTGGTGGCGGACGGTGAGTCGACAACGAGTGCATCGAAACCGATCTCTAGGCTCTTTCTTTTGTTCTGACCCGTCAGAGCCGGAAAGAGCGCGTTTGGTTTCGATGCTTTGATTCGAACGCCATCAGTACCCAGCCTTCTGTAGGCAATAGACTTGACGAGGATTTCAATCTTGGTGTTAGTGGGGGGTACGCCGTGGGTGTGAGGGGTAGGGATGGGGATACGAAACCCCCCTTTCTGTTTCATAGATTGATGATACAAGCCTCGCGATTGCAGGCCTCTTTTGAAACCCCAGGGCAAGCAAGAAACGGTCTACCGTCCGTCATTCGCTCTCCCGCGACCAAACCATGCCATCTGCCATCCACCATCTCTTGATCGAAGGAATTGCCGGCGGCCCTTGTCTCTCGCGGAGCGACGCCGTACCTGTTGAAGGACGAGCTCGTGAAGGTCGTGCAGTGGAAGCTGTGGATAGGCCAGATGCGGCCGTCCCTCCTCCAACGCGCGAAAGAGACCAGCCCAAGCACGGTACGTGCGTGCCCTTTTCTTTTGTGTGTGGTCCAACAGTTAATTGATTTATTGGTTTGTTCGGGTACATGCATTGCTTGTGAGGTTTCTTACCTTTTTTTGGTGGAAACGTGTTGTTATCTTGCACCACATTCTTGCCCGAACACACCCCACGGCGGGGCTGGGGGTGGGGTGCTCATAGCTGTGCATGCCGTAGTCGTTAGAGCATTGAAGTCGCATTCCTACAACGCCGGGACGGAGCACGCCGGGTTTCCACCGGACGAGGCTAGCGCATCACCAAGCGCGAACCGCCGTGAGGTTTTCGGCAAGTCGCATGGAGTGTGCGCTGAATCCTGCTAGTAAGGGAGTTCGGCATCTTGTTCTTACTTCCTCGCATGCGGATGACAGCTGCGAATTACTTTTTTTTTTTCTGGTGGTTCCGCTTCCAGAGACAGTTATAGCACTGTGTAACTGCCTCAAGGCTGCTTGACCAACTAAACACAACGCAGTGCGATCATTTTGCACGGAGTGAAGGTCCTCGACCCGGTACAACATAATCTACTCGACCACCATTCATGGTTACCGCCAAAAAAAAAAGAAACGCGATAAAGAAAGCGGTAACCTGGTTTTCGAGCTCACGGAGCGATCGGCATGTTTTAGAACGTCGTTGCCAAGCGACGAAAGCCCATGATGGGGGCGACGGGAGGGGTACTCTACCGCTTGGGCGGGCAAGATGGACAGATGGCGAACGTAGTTGTGACTTCCGGGTACTTCAAATGTCGCAAAGGCTACTTTAGACTTGCGGGGGCACCCGGCGTTGCCCTCATCCCCGGATGCGGCGCTTTCCCGTCGAAGGTGTGTTTTTGTCTGGTTTCGTATCGTTTTCGCGCATTTTTTCGTGTGCTTAACGGCTTAGCGGCTCGAAACGGCCACGCGGCTCGAAAAACGGTCAGGTCAAAGCCAAGAGCACCTTGGCCTTCCAGCAGCTTCCGAGGCCGTCTTTACCGTCTTCACCGACCGCTGCCGCCCGCGCTTCCCCGGAGGCGGTGTCGAGGGCCGTGAACGCGCTGACCAAGGACCTGTACGGGGTCGGTCCGGCGACGGCCTCCGCCGTGCTGGCCGCTGGGTGCGGGGGCTGCCCGTTTGATGCAGACGAGGTACACTGGAAAGTGTAGCGTGTACTCGTTTCCGTGGGAGGAGGAGTGTTTGATGATGCCCTTTATTTTGTTTTTCTTTCTGATCATGACACGCCCAACTCATCTCCTCCACAGATGAGAGAGTCTGGGATAGATTGGCAATGAAGTCACGGCGTCAGCGGAAGTGCTTGATGCCCGCTTGAACCTCCTTGTGAGTGACTTTGAGGGGTGTTGCTCTGCGAAATCATGAGAAAGCTAAGACCTTGGCCGTTAGTGCGTAGTTATGAACCCTGCACTAAAACCTATACAGTCGCTGTTGGGTAATTTACCCCACAGCTGAAATGAGAAACGAACCACGCAGGAATTGAGGGGTTCTGAAGCGATTGCGTCTCCTCCAGTTGCGTAGCTCGAGTGTGGGTAGCGTAGCGTGGGGGCGGGGGGGCGCCTGCACCGAGGCGACACACGCGTTTTGGCTTAGTTTCCGACGCACGCTGTCGCGGGGGCTTCGGCTAACCCCGACACGACGAACGATCAGCAAACCACCTCTGTGCTCAGTGTCTCGTCGGTTGTTGGCGGGGGGGTTGGTTGGCTGGGGCTTGGCATCAAGCGGACCATGAAGTTGTGTGGGTGTGTTGCCTCGTGCCGTGGTGTCTACGTGTGTATGAGTTATTTAACTTGCACCCAATCGACCGCGCGATAACCGGCTGGCCAATGAGCTACGTCTAAGGGGCGTGGTTGCGCTTCCGAGCGTCAGCATTCTCTCGCGTGGTGCGTGAGAAATACCTTGTTTGACGTACGTCTTGCCGGTGTTCGGCTCGATGAAATGTGCATCGATCAGGTTATCGATGCAGTCAAGCGGTCTGGGAAACGCCAGTACAGTCTCAAGGAGTACCTAGAGGTGAGGAGGACTTCTTGTGTGCCTGCAGATGATGGGGAGAAAGGGTACGTTTCCTCAGAAATGATACGAGCATCTGGACACGCACACTTAGTTGGTGAAGAGCTGAGAGTGACAAGAGTGGAAAACAGCGTGCGGGATACATATACCCACCCAGTGCATTATTTCGTGGTTTGCTGGGATGGACAAACCCAAACACAACCCGAAGGTTTTCTCTGTGCCTGGTATAGTACGGGCCAAAATATTGCACATTGTGTACATACAGCCGCGATACCCCAGGATTCCTACATTTCTTACCAAGTGATACACTTTTTCGCCTCAGAAGCTTGAGGCAAACATGCAAGCACTGCCACCAAGGCCGCCCGCCACTTTCCCCATTCAATCGACCCGACTCGCTACATGCGTGCTACCCCAGGTCCACGAAGCCCTGGACCAAAAAGCCGTCAGCTTGGGAACTCCCTGGGACGCCGAGCGTGTCCGCAAGGCGCTCTGGTCGTGCGCGATGCACTCACGCTTCGGAATGACAGTCCCGCCCGTGCCGACGGGGGCGACGGCGGCGTCGCCGCAAGAAACGGCGACGGCGGCGGCGGCGGCGGGCGGCAGAGGCGACGGCGACAAGCCCCGCGCAAGAAAAAGCGGCAGTGGGGGGGGCGCAGACGGGGCAGAAGCAGCAACGAAGAAGCAAAAGTCTCGTCCCCATTGATGCGTCGTGTGCGTGCGCCGTTTGATGCAAGGTTTCCCTGCAAACCAAAACGATGTGGCTGCTGGGACGCCGGCGTGGCCGGTGGTGGGAGAGCAGAGAAGGAGAGCGCGCGGACAGAGGTTAGGGCCGGAGAATCTAACACGCGCACACGCACACAGCAGGTCGTTACTTCGGGCACATACCGGTGTGGACATGTTGCATCACTCCGGTCGCGGTTCACGAGCTTGCCCACACCAGCCGTCAGGATCAGGGGCGAAAACTGTAAGCAAGGACGAGCTGCATGTGGCGGTGTTGCTATCCGCTCCTCTAAACAGCGGCGGCAGTAAAAACGCCGCCTCACCATCTTGAGACCCCGGCAGTGTTTTATAGGACGCCGGCTCAATCCCGACGACAAACAAGGCGGGCTTCAGAGTCTGGGCGGGGGCTTACCCCAGCCTGTTACCACGTTCTGTAGAATGACGGCTAGACGGGTGGTGTGTTTCAATCAAGCCTACGGCGGCCTCCGCTGTCGCGTCGATTGACGCGGGGTTGGTTTGCGATGGTCAGGTCGGGGGCGCGCTGCTATCTGCTAGCCGGCGGCGAGATTTTGCAGTGAGCGGCGAAGCGGGTAGAGACGGAGTACTCCGACGGAGGTATTTGAGAATGACAGATAACATAGTGGGGTGTGCAATAGGTTCGGGAGGTTCAATGTTCTCGCCGTCTTGGTGTGTTTTGCCGGTTAATTTCGCGCCATCTGTAATCACGGCTTTGGGATGCACCCTGCCCGTATATTTTCAGTACATTGTAGCCTCAGCAGGTTTTCATTATGCAGACATGTTGGATGAAGTATCGAATCGGTGGAATTTCGGGGGGGTTGGTTGTAGGGTCCACGTAAACCCTCTCAATTTCATAGCTAGCTTAGTTGCTTCGCGTCCTGGCAAATATTTTGATTTCGTCACAACTTGTTGCCCGCGGTTGGCTTACTGGGAAGGAGCTTCTGTGTGGAAGCCGTGGATGGTAAGGAAACCAACAAGCAGTGGCAGCAGACACCATGAATGCTTGTGAACGGTTCGGAGCGTTTCAGCACCTCGAACAGAATTGATTGGCGTATGCATAATGCATGTGTGTTTGTATTGTTGACATCGACTGCGCTAACCTGCTGACCAAGCAAAATACGTCAGTCTCAGCGCCTGGCTCACGAAGGACGCTATTTGTGTGTGGGTGAACGGATCCTTGTCCTTCCTTGTGGCTTTCCGGACGCCAGTGTTACCCCCACCGCACGAGCTACAATTTTTACGGCGGGCAGGAAAATCGCGGCTGGTCGATAAAGGGTACACGTGTGCAACGATTTTACCGCGGTATGCGATTGGTCTGCTAGAAAGGGTGCACACGGGCAAACAATTTTAGGAAATCAGTCCCTTTTCACCAGCGCACGCAAGCCGCGCACGCCAAATCGTGTGGCATGTTGTCGAGGAGGACAATGCGACGCCAATATTACCAGTGGGAGTTTCGGCCCCCAAAAGCGGCGCCAACAACGTGTGTACGACCGGATAGAGTTCCATGCTCGGGCGAGGGCTGAAACCGCGAAAAGCCCTTCAACTACTTTGATGAGAGAGAGAGAGAGAGATGAGAGTTTAAGAGTCCGCAGCGAGCAGTTACAAGCCCAAATGACTCGCCTGGAGGAAAATTGATTAGTTTCTGAAAGGACAAAAAAACGTCGCCATCCTCGAGGACCACGTCCAACCAAAAGACCATCGTCGATTCCATGCCTGGAGAAAAACGCCACGGAGAGAGAAAACAAGATGGGAACCTATGAAAGCCAGAGGTCGCACAGCCATTCGAGAAGCGCAAGGGAAGTGAAGAGAAGCGCGCGACCTGAAAACACAAAAAAAGGCTTTAGGGCGAGATGGGGGTCAACAAAAAAACACACAAGGCTACCCACCACCCTCATCCCCAAGAAACAATAACGGCTCAGTCCTCCGGGACCCCGGCATCACGTTGGCTCCGGCCCCGCCGCACTGTTGAGAGCAATTCTCGGGATTGCTGCTCGAGCTGGCTGTTGACCGAACCCCTACAAATACAAAACATGACACTACGGACGGGGGCTCGTCAGCATGCATGGCTGCATGACCATACGCAAACCCTTCGCCCTCGCTCCACTCAACCAAATCGTACACCGCCCCATTGAGTAGCAGAAAACGCCACACATGCTACACGCAAACAAACAGAACACATACACACGCTGTGGCTTCTCGTGCGGCCACGCCACGACCTCACTCGTCGGTTGTTTGCCTCAATGGGGTAAGTCGACGCACCCTTTTTCACCCAGACAAGTCAACATCAATCACGTTCCCCGCGCCTCCCAAAGCCCCCCCCGGGGGCACCCCTACCCCTGCACCCCCTTGCTCTGCTGGGCCCCCATCTGTTCCCGTTACTGCTGTTGTAAACCCGTCCGGCGCTACGCCACCGTTGGGGTCTTGCTTTTTTCGAGAAGCTGCAGTGTAAGACAACTGTTTCCCGCCCCCACCCGTCGCATCCGCCGCGAGAATGCACATGCCCTTGATAACGCTGGTTGCCGTAGAGCTCCTGAGTTGCACACGGGAGTTTTTCGTCGCCAAGGCGGTTCGAGTGGGGGGAGGGGGGGGGGTACGCGGGCGGGGCGACGTTAAATAGGGGGGTCGAAAGTGGGTAGCGGGGCCGTTGTTAGCGCGCGCACGGAGGTGGTGTTCAACATCGGGAGCGCGGGGAACGCCCCGACGGAACAAAAAACAAATTGAGCCGTGCTACATCATGGCCGTGACGCTCACCCGGTTGCGGTCAAACATTAGGGCCAATCCCGACAGGGTGCATGAAGGGGAGGCAAGCTCAAATTACAAACACTTCTTACGTAAACGGTGGGGGGGGGGCAATTTCGCATCCGCAATTTTCGAGAATTCCACCCGCAGTCCAGCACCCCAAATGACACTTGCCGCCGTCGGGCGTATGAACCGTGCCTCGCCTCATCGGTAAGGAGGCGGTTTCAACGAGGGAGCTCGAGAGACAGACAGACAGACAGACAGACAGACAGACAGACAGAGAGAGAGCAGTTGTCCATGGTTGAATCTTGGGTACCGGTCCCCAAACACGGTGAAGCACACCTCAAGTCCGCCGAAGTCTGACCGCGTTCAGCTATGACGACAACACGTCCCGAAACGAGGCTTGTTGTTTGTTATTGCTGTCTCTAGATCAAAAACCGTTCCGGCCTCTGCTCAGCACCCTCTGACGCCTTTCGTGGTCACAGTCACAGGCCAACTTTACCCCTGAAAAATGTCGATACAAAATCCCAAATGCAACAAAAAGGTATGAATAAAAAAACGTGCGCGGGTAATTCGTTCTACGGGCCGGCTCACCGGCAGGATTGGGGTAGCCTGTGCAAATACCCGTGTCCAACCTCCGCCCCCAGGCATCCCTCGCCGCCCCAAACGTTCGTCGGCAGGACTACCGCCACTCGGACCTAACGCACGCACGCGCCAACAGAACAACGGAACAGGAGGGAGGTTGTGAGGGGCAAGTCTTGCACACAAAGTCTAGCGGGCAAACTTCTACAGAGAAATGTGTGTGGGGGGCCGGGGATCTAGCTATCGATGGTGAAAATCCAGAGGAGGGAAAAGCCGCCAGTGCTTATCGTCAATCCCCCCTAAAACTACACAAAAGTTGTCTCTCATGCTTGCCCACAGCCATTGTCGTCCCGACTCCCGTTCAGAAAAAGCTCAGGTGATCAAGTGCCGTGCCGCTTCGAGTGACAGAAGGGCACGGGCTAATCGACGTGCTGCCTAAAAATATCTACAAAACCGTTACAGCACGCATGAAGCCCACAGGCGACGGACGTATGTATTTCCCGGCGTTGATGCCAACGTACTCCTTTTGGTTAGATGCGGCTGCTGTGTACGGTAGGCTAGGATACCTCATCGGTCTTGGTGTTGTAGACGTAGAAGGACATGGGCTGGTCGAGGTGGGCGGTGACCTCCTCGAACAAGATGTCCGGGTCCTTGAAGACTCTCTCCGCCGTGCCCAGGAGGTAGTCGTGCTCCGGCTGGAGCCCCGCAATATGCGACGGCGACCCGGGCACCACCTCCAGCACTCTCACCTGGGTATACACACGGCACCGCCAGTTATAAGCTAAAGAAAGTACTACTTATAGTTATCTTGTGCCTGAGGGTTGCGAAAATTCTAATTCCTCGGCTATTGCAGGCACCAAAGAGGAACCGCATGAGGCAAATATAGCGTGTGGGTTGGGGTGCACGTGCTCCTCCCAAACTGGAAAAAGACTGAGCCTTAAAGACCTAGGACTGCGATTTTTCTGTAGTTTGGCTCCATCTGTGTACACCACACACCCAAGGGCACGCGTAGAGGAGAGCCTGTCCAGCAAGAAAACAATCCGCGATGACGAAAGTGATACAATAACGGGGTGTGTGCACAGCAGTTCCGAGCCAAATGGGACGAAAAAAGTCCGTTAGAGAGTGATAAAAGAACGGATGCTAGTGGAGGAACAAGAAGTTCTACCGTGTTATCCAGTCCCACCTGCGCCCTCTGAGAGGACGCTCGGCGTGCGTGTAGCATGTTTTTTCTCTGCGGTACTGGTGATCTATTCATCGGCCATGCGTACGGGAGCGGTCGACACCAACAGCACACGAATGAAATACTCAACGCATTTTGATTGGCCAGTCGGTCACCTCCATCAACGCCAACCAACACATCACACATGTCGAACACACGTTCTACCCGAAAAGCAGCACCCACCAGATTGTCGTCGGCGTTGTGGTACGTGTCGAAGCGAATCGTCACTCCAAGCATCCCCTGCCCCCCCCAGGAACTCGAGGGCGTTATGGTAACGTCTCTGCATCGGTTGTGGGCGCGCGGGTTCGAAGAAATCGGGGGGAGAGAGTCCCGTTGTCGTTCATGTTACGCATATAAAATGAGGCAGGTGGGTAAGACCCTAAACGAAAAAAAAGAGGCGGGGGTGCAAAAGAGACACCCAAAACTCCTCGGCATCAATGCCGACATCGTAGCTACAAGCTTGGGGTGTGGCTTACCCCCGGGTTACAGCACGCCTCCTTGACAGGCAACCCTTCCCCCCTTCCCTGTATGCTCCAAAAAAATAGGGATGCGCGTTTCAATACATTCGCTTCGTGCCTTGGTGGACATGGAACACGGGAGTCGGACGCAACGCTGCACCTCCCACCCCTACTGACAGAACCTTGTGGCGCCGTATAATGCCCCCCCCCCCCCCCCCCCCCCCCCCCCCGGGGGGCCCCAAAGGGGGGATTTTTTTTTTCCCCCCCCCCCCCCCCCCTTTTTGTCTTGGGTTTTTTTTTTTAAAAGGGGGGGGGGAAAGGCTTTTCCCCGGGGGCCTTTTTTCTCCCCAAAAAAGGGTTGGGGAAAAAATCCCCCAGGACCCCCGGGTTTTTTTTTTGTGCCCCCCCTTGGGCCAAAGGGGGGGGTTTTGACGA